TTTTTTTCCCCACTCGCAAACTAAGCAGGAGGCTAAAAAAAGAGAGGAAAAAAAGAAAAACAGAGAGGAAGATTTCTCTTAACACTGCAGCTATTTATCACCTGTGACATGGACCTAAATCACTCAAGTTGTTTGCACTTAGGACAAGACCACAATGCTAAAATCAAGCTGAAGATCTTGGCATTCCATACAACAGGCTGCACAGTGTGTGGAACAAGGGAAGCAAAGGTGCTGAGTGGGTTGATTCATACCTGTAGCACTGCACCGTGCTCAGCATCATCCTGCAAACCCTGCTCTGAGCACAGAGCCATGCCATTCCCTGCCTGCTAAGGAAGGGGACAGCAGTCACACTTGGGGCTGCTGCTCTGAATCACCTGGTGCTTTGCTTGGGGACTTTGCCCAAGGACGTTGCTCTGGTCATGGGGGAAAAGCTGATGCAAGGCACTTCCCCAGGACTGTGCCAGGGAAGGACCGTGACAGTGGGACATAACATATGCAAAATAAAGATGATCCAGGTAAGCACAGCCTTAGATGTGTCTTTCTGCCCTGGACTTCGTTAGGACTTTACACGACTGTGAAATAGATGGCTCATCCATTAAAATAATGCTCACATGACCTTGACATCCAGGAGGGGCACCACATCCCTGCTTTTCTGCTTAACACAGTAGGACGCCTCAGGGGTCTATGGGACACAGGCTTGGTCCTTCCCAGGACTTTTTCCAAACTCATTTTTCAAACCTGTCACCAGCACTTCCAGAACAGGCAGGTGACACAGGACATTCCAGATGCCAGTTGCTCTCTCATGCTCAGGGAAGATGAGCACTGCAGGAAGGGGTTTTAATGACCATCATCTCTGGCTGGTGGCTTGCGACTTTTTCTCTATGAGCACAGATGATATGGATGTGGGCAGGGGATTTGCATTCAGTGCCAAGCAACCTCTCAGGACATTTCTTGCAGGATTTACAGCTCTGCAGCTCTTTACAAACTATCTGACAAACAGCTGCCCAGGCAGTGCAGACTCATCCACCACTGGACACTGCTGCTGATCATGTCAGGAGCGTGTATTTGGAAAGAGAGTCAAAGAAGCCTCTCCTTTGGCACTTGCCCAGTTTCTAGAAGCAAGGGCATTTCTTTACTCAAATTTAATGTTCTTCTGTGGAACAGGCAGTACTGCCCATATCCTGGCTATCTAGTGCACAGAAATCAATAAGATGGTAACTCAAGTGATGATTTCTGCAAGTCAGTGGTGCTTGTGGTGCCTCCCTGCTGTCCTCTGTCTGGATTGTTCCAGCTCATCCCTCTTGGCTTTCCTGGGATGCCGAGCAGAGATACCTGCAAGATACCAGCAGCAAGGCAGAGTTCCTCTTTGCAGCACATCTCCCGTTCTGTTTCTTTTCCTGCTTTTAGCTGCAGTGATGCATCAGACGCTTGATTTTCCGGTGCAGCATCCGCTGCTGACGCCTACTGGCGGTTTTTGTGCTGGGATCTCTTCAGAAGGGTGTGCTAATTAAGAGATCACATTTCCATCAGAACCTCTCATGCAAAAGCACCTTGGTGTGCTTCATGAATGCTGTAAGAGCATGCTGCAATCAGACCAGCTCTCTTGGAAGGATGCTTAATATCCTGCTGGCAACAGTAGGAACTTTTCCAAACACCACCCCCTGATATTAAGGACATAAATTATTAAACAGCCCAGTGGTGTTGCCCTTGTACAAAGTCAGCATTGAGAAATGACTGACATCCTCCTTGCACATAATTAAACTGAAAACTTAATTGCACTATGGCTGTATGGGATGGGGTTTCCAAACAGATTTGTTGCAGAGTTCAGCATCCCCACTGCCTGCGTTTTCATGACATTTAACATGGGTTTGAATACGTTTCTTTGTGCCCCAGCCCAGTGTGGACCACAGTGCTGTGCTGTGCTTGGTGTCCGCATCAGTGATAAACAAATAGCATTTGTGCTCAACATGTTTTGGAAATGGTGTTTAAATCAACTGTTTTTAGCATGATGCCCGCTGCCCCACCGTGAAGTGGCTTTCATTAGGAACTTGAGATAGCCTGGACTGTTGGCATCCCACCTGGGAGGAGGACCTCAGCGTGGGCACAGCTATGCTCCATCCACCAGCAGTGCCTGAGCTGCATCCCACAAGAGCAGACGCCTGGGGCCAGCCCTCTCCTTTTGCATCAGCACCATCTCAAGCTGTCATTTGTGCTAAGGCTGGCCTGACTGATGGTTTGACAGTGATAAAAACACATTTGCTTCTGCTGCAATTTTAGCCAGGTTTCTCAAGCCACTTCAGGGTGAAGTGCAATAAATCTGCAGGAAGTTTCTGGCAGGTGGATGACCTTAAATCCCCATCTGTAGTACATACCTGATGCATTCAAGAGTGGAGGGGAAGGGCATTTTCTGGGGACAGGCATTTTCCACTCTAGTGTAAGAAAGCAGGAGACGGTTGCATGGAGTAGGGGAGAGCATGCAGTGCAGACACCAGCAGTCCATTCTCCCTCCTTTCTCCCTACCCTGCTTTATCACATCTCCACTCTTTCAATTGTGGAGAAATTACAGCTAAAACTCCCCCCTCCCTCCCCCACTCTGGCTACCTGAAATAACCTTCTGTTTTCATGCAAGCCTCAAAGTATTTTTTACAGCAGTTCTTCCTCCTGCCATTAAATATTTATATGAAAAGCCACATGGTTTTGCTGCAGCAGGATGGTGCAGTGCTGAGAACCTCTGTGAGACAGATTTAAATAGCAGTGAGCTGGCAGACACTCACAAAACACCTGGTTTGATTTCTCCCATTCCCCAACCTGCTGCAATGCTTCCTGGAGTGTCCCCAGTATAACATCCTCACCCCTGCAGCCCAGGTGCTCAGCAAGCGCCCAGTGTGTGACCAACAGAGCTCTGTGGGGAGAGAAAGCAGGCTGAGCTGCTCCTGTGCCCAGATGGGTTGCAGGTAGGTAATGAAATGGAGACCTGGGAATGGACCTGGAAATCAAGTGCTCGAGTGGTCTGATGAGCAGGGAGCTGCGCACAGGTGCCATCCACTGCAGGACAGGAAGCATCAGTGCACTGCTACTAAGGGTCGTCTTCTCTCATACCCCAGCACCTTCCTTGCTCTGCTTTATTTTGGGGAGATGAGGATGGTAGAAGGAGGATACTTGTCTCAGTGCTCTGCAGTTGCTGTAGCAACTGTGGTGTCTCTGGCAGCAGGAGCACATGCTTCCTACAGCCAGCATCAGTGTGAGCCTGCTACTTGCATGCAGATATTCTATTCCCTGCTGGGCAAAAAAGCCCCATGCCTGCCCCCCTGCCAGCAGCAATTAGAGACCAGGCTGTGCTGCCGAAGCAGCAGCAGTGGCAAAGGAGAAGTGTGCTGAGCTGGAGGGATGCTGCTGTGCCTGCCATCTCCCAGGCGATCTTCTGAGCACAAGTCAAAGCCTCCTCCAAAGCATCCGCTGCTTCTCTCTGGCTCCTCAGCAAGCAGAACCCTGCTTTACAGCTTCTGCTTTGGGTAAAAAAAATACGATGAGTCTTGATCAAAGCATTCTCAGCAGTAGAGGATCTGCGCAAGCTTTGATGAGTGACTTTCCTGATTAATGACTTCTAAATAATAGAGCTTTGTTCACAAGCTGGATTCATTTAATGTCCGTTTCCAGTCATCTTGTAGGGCTTTGCCTACTCAATTGAAAATCCCATTAATTCCCTGTTCCCACCAGCTTTGTAAATCACAAGCTGTGACCAAATATCCCTTCCTTTCCTTTGGGAAACCAAAGAGACAGAGCTCCTTGGGCCAATCCTCAAAACCATTTGCTCTCAAGGCACCAAAACAAGGCACGTTTAGCCAGGGGTGTGCTCACACAGCTTCTGACACCTACTAAAGCTGCCCTACTTGTGTGTTTCAGGTCATGGTAGTCCTCTGACCCCATGCCACCAGATACCTGCATCCCTTCAGAGCCCAGCAATCTCTGCTCAGTCCTCTGTATGTGAAGCACCCCATCTCCCTGGCACAGGATTTTAGCCTCAGCTCAAGTAAAGCACACGTTTGCTGGCCTCTCTTCCACACCTAACAATTTGCATCAGCTGGTAGAGATGGAGGAGAACAAAGCAAGAAGAGCTTCATAATTCCTCCCCAGCCATTTTGCTTGGGTTAGGTCTATTTTGGTTTTATTTGCAGAATTAAGCCCCGGGCTTTCATAAATGGGGAGACCTGCCTTGCTTTTCCAGAAGGTGCTGATCCAGCCTTTCCACCACTTGCTTTTGGGATGGCCAGAGCAGACAAGAGCTGCAGGTTAGGCTGGTCTTCATAAAATGGGAAGGCGGAGAGATGCTCCCACCTTAAGGCTGCCCTTGGAAAACTTGCTGGTGGGAATACAGACTTCCTGCCTTCTTCTGGTGCCCTGACAGAAGTGAGCAATGCTCAGGCGGGCCTGTTGTCACTCAGTATAGGGTTTTCCACCCCACTCATTGCTTGATGAGCTGGTTTTCTGGGCTGTAGCTGAAGCTTTATGTCCCCTGGGAAGCTTTCTTTAAGAGCAGGTTTGCAGCTGGGGAACGTTTCACTGCTATTTTCAGCCTGTGATGTTTTCCTTTTTTTTTTTCTTCAAAACACAAAAAAAAAAAAAAAAAAAAAAAAAAAAGCAATAAAACAAAACAAAAAACCCCAACACTGTCAACAAGTCACAAAAGAGTGATCTCAGTCTAAAATACGAGTCCTGGCATGGGTTGGTATTTGACTCAGAAGCCACTTCCCATCTTTGGAGACTTGAAGTATGTTCCACTTCGTCATCCTGAAAGTCTTTAAACACTTACTAAAGCAGAGTTTATTTATCCACAGTTAGAACAGCCTATCTATTATCTTGAAGGCTGAATTCAGAAAGTTTTTACAGAAATTTATTGGTCTCATTCCTACCAGTCTGAACAGAAGTTTTCCACTGAGTCTGTCAAGATAGAAATGTCTCAATTCCAATTTCCTTCAGTCTTCAGCAAGACATCACATTAATTGTGTTAAAAAGCACTTTTATTAGTTACTGAGAAAGCAAGAGTCTGGCAACTCCTCTTGACCACTAGCTATTAACTTCTGTGAAGTCTCCTTTAACATTGGTTTGATCCAGTGCAGTGGTTTTCTCCACCAGCAAGCTCAGCAGTGGCTGGAGCCAACGGGACTGACTCCAGATGAGGATTATTGGCATCAGGGCTCAAGGGTTCCTATTGCTGCCTGGGTAAATCTCGTCTGCCTCTCTTAAGGCTTGTTTGCATCTCTGTTGTTGGAAAAAAAAAATGCAGAGGCAACTGAGAGCCAATAAATACATACTGAACAATTTCATCTACACTTGTGATGCTTTCGACAGGTCTCAGGCAGCCATCTCATAGCCTGAAGGAGCTTTGTTTGTTCCAACTCTGTGCAGGGCTACGTTTCAGCCAACAACTCAGCACTGCAAGAATACAGCATCAGCTCTGCAAGGTGAGGAGAAACCTCAGCTCCTCCATCTGACCTTCACAGAGCACTCTGACGACGCTCCCGCTGGCATTTTGCCGCACTGGCACCACGTGGGCATGGACATTTCGTGGAACAAACTCTGATCTGTCTCATATTTGAGGATCTATATAAGCAACCAGTCAACATGCAGGTGAGCTTTCAGACAGGAGGTGAAGCTGAAATCCCATTCGATCCACTATCACTTCAACCTGAACTCACCTGAAGAAAATAAACCAGGGTTGAGGATGGATATCTGATGCTGCAAATCTTTCAACAGCCTGAAGTCAAAATAGAACTGGAGAGATTTTGGTTGGAAAATATGTTCTCCGCCTTCCTTGCTGTTGGAGCACATGGGAGGATTTGGAAGCTTTGTATCTACAAGGCAGTGAAAGATCAAGGCCTTGAGCACCAAGGTAGGTCTTCAGAAAGCACAGACCTTCATTTTAGGACTTCATTCAAGATCATAGACTGGAAATGTAACTAAGGGCTGAGACAGGCCTGCTCGTGGCTTCTGCACAGACTCTTGCAGAGCCAGTGGAAGCATGTGCCGCAGGGAACTCATTTCACATCATTTATTCCAGTTGTGCTTTCAAGCACTGACCCACCTATCATTTCTTCAGACTGGATAGTATGAAGTGTTGAGGCAGGCTGATGACACCTGCTGTTTCCACGTGTCCATGCTTTAAAACTGAATTACTCACTGGCCGCACCATGGCTTGCCCTGACTTCTGCCTGGATGAAGAAGAGAACCAGGCTCCTAATTCCCATCATTCAGCCCTCTGGAACTGCCACATCCAGCCCCAAGCACAGCCCTGCCACGTGCCCTTTGCACAGCTGGCAAGAGTCTCAATTAAGGGCCACTAGACCCGCTGTTTACAGGAAGTGCCGGCACAGAGCATGGAATTAGAAAGACCACAAAGAAATGAGGGATTATTTACTGGAGATTAAAGGACGTGGAAAAACCACAGGACAAATCAGTGGGGCCTAAGCAATGGCAGCTTCTATTTCAGTCTCCCAGCTGCTGGCATTTGCACAGGTCACTCTGCAGTGTGAGAATCTGGGAGGAATTCAGTGGTATGGCTGATGCTTGCTTTGTTTTTGGGCCAGTAAAATGCACCAAAGCAGGTCCTAAGCCTGTTGAATAGAGAAGAGGGATATCCACTCCACTTTCTCCCTTCCTCGGCCAGCACCATGAGTCTTTCTTCCCCTCCAATGCAATTTCTGCTTTTGGGCTGCACCCCCAGGCCAAGTTCAGTCCTGCCTACTCGTGTAGCCACAAGGACACATCCATGGATTATTCAAGACAAAGCACCTCCTTAAATCTGGAAACAAATGGGTAGGGGTGAGGTCTGACATCTCAAGACCTTCAAGACAGTGGAGGGAGCATGTGTTTCTTGGTAGGTTTTGAAATATTCAGAGGAGGGAAAACTCCTCGATGAAGGTTAATCCCAATCCAGCTCAGCCCAGTGCCATTTGAGATAATTTCTTCTCCAGGCTTCTGTCTTCATGCACCCGCCCTTTTCCCTATGAACTATAAACCCACCAACACTGTCTCCAGTGGAAAGCGATGCTGGCAGAAGTGACAGCCAAGGTGTCCAGAGAACACATGGCTGTCACAGGTGACTTCTGCAAAGATGTCCCAGAATAGCTGAAAAACAACGCAAATGTCACTTCATTTGTTTGAGCAGCCCACCCCCACTGAGATGCTCTCACCACCACTCCTTGGGGTGCATATCTTGAAGGGTGGCAGATGCAAATCAACCCTGTATGGCAGAGTGACATCTCAGCACCCACCTACAACACCTCCTGGGTCTTATTGCTAAGGGTCTGAGACTCGAATTGCAAATGTAGATCCACATCCCGAAAGCACAGGGAAGTTCTGCAGCTTCAATAGCAGAGACACCCTGTTCAGGTATTTATGAGACCATTTATTTTTTTGTGAGGTCTGCTTTTCAGCTAAATTAGGCTACCAAGATTTCAGTGGCTGTTTACAAGCTCTGAAATTTGGGGTGTTACTGGATCAAGCCTTGTGACAACAATCCCCACTCCTCCAGGTGCAGATGCACCATGGCTGTCCTCTCAGATACAGGATGGGCTCCAGGACCCCCTGCCCCAACACGGGGCACTGATTCAGCCCTTTCTCGTTGGGAATGCAACCATGGACTCAAACCCTAGCCCTGCTCCTGTGGTTAGTGTGATGCTGCTGGGAATGACAGTAACACAGTGGTGGCTGGGAGGATGCTTGGTCAGGAGAGCAAGCAGGAGCTCAGCAGGGTTTTCTTTTTTCTTTTTTTTGTTCTGGCTGCAACAAAGAGAGAGAAAGTATGAATGAGCTTATTTTATAGCCTCAAAGGAATACCCAGCCTTTGTTAGCTTGACATACGCTGTCATGGTGAAGAAAATAAAAGCTTATTCTTGCCTGAATGGGCTGGCTGAAAACAAATGACCCCCAAAACCCTCTTATATATCATCATCATCATTTCCATCATCTATGTGCTATGTGCCTATGTGATCTACAACCCAGCCACTTCCAGACCAGGACCTGATCTGTTATTCACAACAGAAGGAAAGCAAAGACCCAGGTTTTCATCATTCTGGGGGAATCTGAAGGGCACTCTACCCCTCAAAGCACCAGCCTGCACCACGTCCCCATTGAAGACGAGGCAGAGGCCATCTCTCTAATGACACTAACACAGGAGTGGCTGGAGTATGCTCTTCTCTTAAGACTTTGCATGTAGAAAATGCTATCACACAGTCCAAAATTTCCAAGTGATTTCTAATGGAGGCTTGGACAACTGTGGTGAGCATCTCAGAGCCTGCAGAGTGGCCATGCTGAACAAATAGGACACTGTGGACAACAGCCTCTGGCTGTGGAATAACACACAGTAACGCACCGCCGATTACCGAGTTCAACAGCACTTTCTCTCCTTGGAGGACAGCTCTCAGATGCAGGCCATGCAGAGAAAATAACCATGCTGCAGCTGCTCAAGTGACTCTGTTTTAACCAGGATGTCCTGTGTTTCTTATGGGGCGTCAAGTGCCCTGTCTCAAGTGGTGACCCCACTCTGGAGCTGTATTTCTCTTTTCTTTACATCACTGTCTTCTGCCATCAAATCATGTAATTCGCCTTATTATCAAAGCGGCAAAATCAGCTTCAGGAGTTCAGGATCCATGAACAGAGATCAGAGTCTGCGTGTGGTTCAGTGACACATGAAGGGAATGAAAAATAATGCCATTAATACAAACAGTCCGAACAGACACCACCCGCTTCTCCCCTTGCAACTCCCGATCTCTCCCCCCACTCCAAAAAAAAGCAAAAAAAAGGAAAGTATCTGCAAAAAAAGCTGAGCCGGAGGCAGGTTTCTGCTCCAGGCTCACTCCCAACCTGCATAGGATGGGGCAGCCCGAAGCAGCAACGGATGGGATGGCAAGTGGCTGCGATTGCATTGCAGGCACCATTTTCTTTTTTGTTATTCCAATTGAATATATTATGGTGGGAAGTGAAAATGAGATTTGCCCTCATCTTATGGTTCTTTGTAAAAAGTTTTTGACCTTATAAGGGACGAGGGCACTTAAGCCAGAATGGCAAGAACCTCCTCCTGCTGCTGTACCACAGTGCTGCTGTGGGTCACACTTCAGCACCCAGCAGCTTGCAGCAGGGGACCAGTCTGGGGGGAAGAGGTCTCCTCTGACATTTTCATAGAAACTGGCTCCAGTTGGCTCCTCCTGATGAGTTTTGATTTAAACTGCAGTTATAAGGTGCAATTAGAATCTGGGGCTGCTGTGCCAAGAGCTCAGATGTGAAGCATAACAACAACAACAACAACAATCTGTCCTCCAAATCTGTGTTTTCCCAATATTAACTCCTCGTGTGCTGCCACCAGAGGGAAATCCAGGGCCATCCAAGGACAGTCCTGGTGAGAGGTTTGTCAGCACCACTAAATATTAACATTTATGGGCTTGGTCATAACCACAGCTTTGTAGAGAGCTGCTGAGCCTTTCCTAGCACCAAGTGTGAGAGCAGAGGGAAGAGATGCCCTTTCCAAAGTGCTGGTGCTGGTTGGTGTTATGGATGGAATTATCAGTGCTTCCATACACTGGGTAAGGAGGCAGATCTTTTCCTAAAATGGTTTGACAAAGTCTCTCCCTCATGTTTCTCACTACACTCAATAGTTAATTTTGCAAAGGGAAGCCTTTGGAGATGGCAATGCTGTTCAGACCTTCAGCCCATCTGGATAAAATTGCAATTCAAGGGAATTGCTGGTTCTTTATCTTCAGGCGGCATCATTGCGCAGTTAATTTCAGGTCTTCCAGTAAGCTGTAATGCATCTTTTAGCCTAAGAGCTCTTTTGCATGACACTGAAATAGACCCCAGTCTACATACATCTGCTGCCAAGATAAATGTATGGTTCAGCAGCAGTAAAGAGGATATAAAAGACTCCCACGTTACAAATGTAGGAGGCAGAGGATATTTTAGCATGACAGCGGTTACACTTTTGGCAGTTCTGCTATAATTAACTTTGTTTTCAGAGCCTTAAAATATTCCCTGTGCAGCAAAGACTGACATATCTGCTTTCAGAGGAATTGTTTCAGGGTCTGGGGATGGTGAACGGAGCTTGGGAGCATGGGGAAATGCAAAGAAGATGGAGTTAATGCCCTACATTTATAGGTATTTTCTCACAAAATGCCCCCTGACATGGGCAAGCTTGCCTTCCACCAGATCAGGCTGTCCAGAATCCCATCCAGTTTGGCCTTGGGCAACTCCAGTGTGGCACCCACACTTTCTTTGGGCCTCACCAACCTCCAAGTAAATAATTTATTCCTAACATCTAATCTAAACCTCACCTCTTTTAGTTTAAAGCCACTCCCCCTTGAAGGCCTTGATGACGTCTCCCCAGAGCCTTCTCTTCTCCAGGCTGAACACCCTCAGCTCCCCCAGCTTATCTTCACAGGAAAGGTGCTCCAGCCCTCTGAGCATCTCTGTGGTCCAACAGCTCCACATCCTTCTTGTCCTGGGGACCCAGGCCTGGACGCAGTGCTCCAGATGGGGCCTCATGAGAGCAGAGCAGAGGTAGACAATCCCCTCCCTGCCCTGCTGCCACCCCTCTGTTGATGCAGCCCAGGATGCAGTTGACCTTCTGGACTGCAAGAGCACACTGTTGCCTCACATCCAGCTTTTAGTCTACCAGGATCCCCAGGTCCTTCTCCACAGGCTTGCTCTCAAGGAGTTCTTTTCCCAGTCTGCATGCATATCGGTGATTGCCCCAACCCAAGTGCAACACCTTGCACTTGGCTTTGTTGAGCCTCATTAGGTTCTCATGTGCCTGCTTCCCAAACCTGTCCAGGTCCCTCTGAATGGCACATCTTCCTTCTATTGTGTCAAATGCACCACCCAGCTTGATGTCATCAGCAACCTTGCTCATGTACACTCGATCTCACTGTCTATGTCATCGATGGAGATGCTGAAGAGCACTGGTCTCAAGACAGAACTCTGGAGAACACCACTTGTCTCTGGCCTCCATGTGGACATCAAGCCATTGACCACAACCCTCTAGATGTGACCATCCAACAAACTAACCACTGAATAATAAAAAAATCTTTAACATTCTCACCCAAATACAGTATGCAAGAGCTTTGCTGGCTGCACCTGGCTTGGTTGAAGATGAGATGTCTAAGTACAACACAGCAGCCATTCTGGTAATGTATCTCCCCCATCAGACCAAGAGGAAGGATGGGGAATCCAGACAAGGAATAATCTGGTTGGGGGAAGGCACTGATGCTGCAGAGCTGGATGAGGGGCATTATCTGTACCAACAAGCACAGACCTGGGTTGAGCAAACTGGATTGAAAGTAAAATGTTTTCAAGAGTGGGCCAGAACTAGAGAGGAACATTTGCTGAAGACTTTCAGAGAGCTGGAGGACTTTGGCTTCCATGTTTCTCATGCCGTCTTGAACTCGAATGACTGACACAGGCACCAGGGTTGGTCAGAGGAGAGTGGTGTGCACCCAGCTCCCCCTGTTATCTCCTTTGAGGCCAGCACTGCCATCATTCAGAGCTGGTGTACAATGCTGGGCTCTGGTCTTCTCCAGAACATCACACTGGGAAACACAGGCAGCTGGCTGGGAGGCAGTCTGTGCCACAAAGGTACTTATAGAGGTAATTAGTGGTGATGAATCAAACTTAATGCACTCTAGGGCGTCAGGAGTAGCAGTGAAAGCCTTGATCTAGGGACAGCATCACGTCTCAGGCTGCTGCCTGGCCCAACCTTCTCTCTGTGCTCTCCTGAGGCAAGGAGGGGCTGTCCTCTGTGTCCCTGAATGCCATCACTGTAGTGCACAGACGTTCTACCCATGATCACCATTTCCCCCTTTGCTCTGGCAGCTGAGCCCAAGAAAAAAGGATTGCTCTGAAATGTCAGGAGAGGTTTCCAGCTTTGGTTTCAGAATTTTTCACCCACTTTTGCCATGACTCTTAACGGACGTGCTCTAACCACAGGCACTGCATGCTGCTTGCACAAAGTGCACGCAGAAAGATTGGCTCTAAAAATGTCTTGTGACTCAGTGTGCTCCCCTCTGAAGGCTCTTGGCCATACCCTGAGTGCTTGAGGGCTGCCATATTTACTCTTGGCCCACTAAAAGGGACACAGGTATCATCAGGGAATCACCTCATGGCCTGACATTTTGATGAGTTAACTTGTTAGCAAGGCTTTTGCAAGACCCTTGCCTAAACTGGGAGCCAATGTAGAGGAGCGGGAGCGAGGTGGTTTCCTGCTGCCTCTGCCCTTTCTCCTCACCCGCAGCAGCAAGGGGTGAAGTTGCTGTGTCTGCTCAGATCAGTCTGATCCATCGATTAGTGTGGGTAGGATAGATGAGCTAGGTCTGAATAGCAAAACCGTGCATGAACCAAGAAAATTTGGAGAAATAGCCCAGGATATGGACTTAGCATTAAACCCAAAAGGAACTTTGGCCAACGTCCTGCATCAGGACTTCATGTGTCAGACCCAGTCTGGAACCCTACACATTTCTGAGGGCATGGAGAGCCAAATTTAACAACAGGGAATCCAAACCACGTGTCTTTGTGACTCTCCATCCGTATGTATGGGCCCAGAAATCCAGCCCTGGTCCAGTGAGAAAAGTACTTAATATCATCCAGACTCATTCGAAAAGCTGCTTGTGCTGAACTTGGACGGGGTCTCATATCAAGGATTTGCAGAGCATGTGACAGTATTACAGTTTCATGTTAATCTGTCCTCGTTGTGTGCTATGAAAAACAAGTCAAAACCCCTGCTTCCTAATCCCCAGGTTACTAACTGTGGGAAAACCATGTTGGCCACAGCCTTAGCAAGTGCTTAGAAGTGTCATGCTTTTGTATTTATTGCATAGCACGTTGTTCCTAACCTGAGTACCTGGAGCAGGCACCCCAGGCAGCAGGATACCAACACCCACTCCTCATTACTGGGGTGGATACCTCAGCAGCACAGCTCACCTCACCTCACCTTGGCTGTGGAGCACAGCAAATCCTTGTGCAATGAAACCACGCAGCAGGAATGATCCCGATCCATAATTGCTCCGAGCAGACCACAAAGCAGCTCCTGCTGGTGGAAGTATCCACTCAGAGGTAATAACCCGCTGAGTAACAGTGATGGCAGCAGATCCGTGATAAAAGGCAGGGAAAAAAAGAAAAAGCTCTCTCCATTATACAAAGAACGGATGCTTTCTGTTTGCTTCCTTTGCATTTAGCTTTCTGAAGGGAGGCTGAGGACAGATCAGCAGCGCATGCAGAAAAAGCAGAAGCATTGTTTTCCATGAGTGAGATCATAGGCAGGGAAATTATTGTCTCCTTTTAATCTTTGCTGGATTTCTACCCAGCCCCTCTCTTCAAGAGTCATGTCTGCATACAAGTGGTGAAAATCCCGCTCTGCAGAGCCTGGAATTGCTGCCTCCAGTCCCTGCTGCCTCTGGGCAGAGAGAGAACGTGGGGCAAAGCCAGGTTCTGGTTAGGACCGTGCCATCTCAGTGTCCATCTGAGACCTCTGCAATGGCCTCTCCAATCAGACACCTGGCAGCTCTGATGTGGCTGAGGAGGGGAGATGCTCCTAAAGCACCTTTCTGTCCTTCCTAGAGACACAGCAGAAAGAAGGAAAGCCTCCATGTTTGCAGTTTTGATGCAATCCCCCTCCTTGTGCTCCCACGAGGAGGACGTGAATTGAACAAATTGCAAAGTAGAGCAAAGAGAAACCACAAGAACAACACTGCCACCAGGATTGTAGTGGGACTGAAGGGCCCAGGTGACTGGCTAGGCACACCACAGGCCATGCCCTGGCCACACGAGCATCTGCCCTGCAAAATGCCTGAGCCTGAGCTTCGGGATGGCCATCTGCAGCCACGAGGTTGTGCACTGGAGACAGGCTCTGCAGGACTACAGGGGCTCAGCACTGCTCATTAAAGTGCCAGGGAAATGTGAATGAAGCAGATGAATGGATGAATGAATGAAGAGAGGAAGGATGAGTGAATGAATATTGCACGGAGCTGTGCCTTTCATCCCGGGAGTGCAGAGCTGCGGCTCAGCTGCTGTGCAGGAGGTGTATCTGTGCTCCCTGTCAGATGGTTTTCCAGGACTGTCAGCAGAGCCCTTCTGGAGGAAGCAAACATGGAGATGCGGCTTATGGACCCTCATTATTTGGAGCATAATGCTTCCCCTAACTAAATCCCCCTGATCCCCACATCATCAGAGGGACAACTCATTACTTTTGGAGTTGTTCTCACTCTTACTCTTCCGAACACTAACCTGTTCCTATGGCAATGGCATCCCAACCCTTTTCCAACCCCTGCCATCTTCTGTCAAGTCACGCTGCTGCAGAGCTGGGAGTGGCAGGCAGCAGGGACTCCACGGTGCATTTTGGCACCAGCAAGGTTAAAGGCCTCCTGACAGCACAGGACCAAATTTGCTGCAACCAAATGCAGCACAGGGCATGCAGGCAGCTGTGGGGATTGTTAAAGATATTCAGGGCACGTTGAACTGAGATATTGTTTCCCGGATGTTTTATTGTGCTAAACGCAACATGCAATGGGCTGACCCCAATGGCTGGTGTGAATGTGAGCAGAGCCACTGGCAGGGTGCTACTGGTCCTTTCTGACCTGCCCAGCTCCTGCAGAAAGCAGCTTCTCCTGCAAAGAGCCAGGAAGACAGAGAGATGCATCAACTGCCAGAGTGGGAGCTCAGGGCATCTCCCCACATCCTCCAGGAACCGTGTCTGGGTCTGGCTGCTCTCCCAGTGCATTCCCTTTGGCTTCAGACACAGACTTTACCCTGGCTCAAATGACTTTGATGCCAGTGGCCTGCAGTCATGCCTTATCCCACCAGTGTTTTTCACAAGCTGCCTTGAATTTCATGGTAACCCCGCAGAGGTATTGGCTTACAGCAAACACAAGCACCGCCCTGGATGAAGCATTCTGCTTGTCTTATCCAAATATTAACAAGCACCAAATGTAAGATGTGGGGCTTGCCTCCCACTCATCTGCAGACAATCTGGCCATGGGTTTTGCTGCTTGCGGGGCTGTACTTAAAGATATCCAGCTGAAGATAGGCAGAGAAGAGAGCTTTAATCCTGGGGATCACATAGGGGCACAACCCCTGCATGGGGATAACTCAGTTTTGGGGTTGCTACACTGGGATGGGTGACCCTGGTGTCACTGAACCTGGAATGCTTTGGGGGATGGGAATGTTTCCCTCAGTGATGGGTGATGCTCTGCGGCAGGAGCAGAGCTGTGGGGCCCCTCTTTTTCTTCCATCTCCACCAGTGCACTGCAGAACCAGCCCAGGAGCAGTGCTGCCTCCACCCTGGCTGGGACAAGGAGGTGGGGTAAAAAAAGAAAAAACTGAGACTTACCTCTGTGTTTTCTCCTGCCAGCCCCATCACTTTCCTCCAGTCTCATCATTCTCTTTCCCTTCAATCAAGGCCAATTTGCAAGAGGAGCAGCTTCCAGAGCCTGAGTGTAAAAGCCTTTAATTACTGTTATCTGGGAGGCTATGCCAAGCTCTCCTCTGGTGCCTTTTTCATACTTTCTGGAAGACAGTGCTCCAGGACCTGACAATCCCAACATGCTATTTGTCAAATTTGATTTTAAATCAGCACTCAGTTTAAAATGTAGCTTGTGAGGAGCAGCTTGCCATGCAGAGACCCTGACAGCTGCATCTTTCCTTCTGCTTGTCAGCTGGCCTTACATCACACATTCAACCAGCAGCAGAGGCGAGTGCAGCACTCAGGAAAGGACAGAGCACATTCAGAGAGACCAGGCTGACTGCTGTGCTGTGCACTGGCAGGAGAACATCCATCTGTCCTGCACAAGTCCCCAGCCCTCCCCTGCTGGGAGCATGCTCTCCATGGGGCTGCACGCTTAATAATGTGCAGTGGGGCATTCAGAATCAGCCACGGTTTGTATTTTCTCCTGCTTGGAAGAACATTAACACAGCCTCCTATGCAGACCGAGCCCTGCATTTGGTGTGCTCAGCACAGCAAGGACGAGAAGGAGGCTCATCACCCGCCCTACCACTCCGCAGGCAGGACGCAGCACTGCACCATTTGACTGTCCTTAAACACAGCCTGAGCCAACATCTGGCACGCTGCAGACCCAACGACTTTGCTGTGTGGGTTCAGCAGACACTGAGACACACCAGAACGGATTCCAAAACGCTTCCAGATGGCCCGGGACAGCACACGTGGGATCCGTTCTATGGGTGATGCCCACCAGAGCTACCCCTCTAATATTTCATCATTGGAACATCAGATGCGGAGGAGCAGAGCTGCAGAAGAGGGTTTGTGGGAGCCCCTGCCAGTGGGTGGCACTGTAAAACCAGCGGTACGGAGCTGGAGGAGCTGCGCAGGCTGCACGACTCTGCTTGCACAGCTTCGGCAACTCAGGGCATTGGCACCGGGAATTGGTCCCCGTGGGGACACAGAAGATGCTGACTGGCAGAGAGGGGGCTGCCAAGCCTCATGTCCGAGCTGCCCACCTTCATGCTTACAGAAGCACCTCGCTACAGCCCCTTCCTGAGTGGAGAAGAGCCCTTCTGCCATAGATGGATCTGATCTTTGCCTCGCGCTGAGCACTTGGTAATTACAGTACCTCCCACTTAATTGGATTGTGCTTAATTGGGAAATCCACTTACCAGGATGTCACCTAGGGAAACAATTTAAGCTTGAAAACACTTAAGAGCGATGCCTGCTGCTTTATAGGGAAGGTAATTCTCCTGCAGGGAGATGCCTTCAGGTGGCTGAATCTCACTCCCTCTCCCACCAGAATCCAGTGCTCCTGCCTGCTTGCTCACGTAACAGATTTCAGCCTTCTCCTTATGTAGGTTATGGTCAGGGATGGCCCCAGCTGCTGCAACCAGATTGCTGCTGCCACCTGCACACCCAGCATGTTCACCCCTTTCCTGGCTCAACATATGGCTTTCCTTTTGCAGCCAGGATCTTTTTGGTAAGGATGACAGGCTTGACCGAGGTGCTTCTCCCAGCCATCACACAAAGTGGAATGAGGCAAGAGCTCTGGAGAGAACCGACATCCCTCACCATTAATCCTAATGCCAGTCTTCCTCCCATGTCTCTGACAATCCAATACATCAATACCCAAGTGAAGGGGGAAAGAGGAAATGGAAAGAGATGTTAAAAACAAAATGTTTAGTTAAACACGTAGGGATGCCTGGTTTCCTATGGGAAGAAGGTCTACATGACCACACCAAGTATTTGTGTGTGCACATGAACATCTGATAGATCCTGCTGACATTTGCTGAACCTGTTGACCATGTTTGGATAGAGAAGTGGCTTTTTCGAAGACAAAATATTCCCAAATCTTTTGTAATAATTGCCAGGCAGAGAGTCCCTGTTAATCTCCAACCCCTCTGTAGCTCTCAGGGACACAGGGCCATACTTTCACAAGCCAAACCCCACAAACCACATTCCCTTGTTTACAGAGGGAAGCAGATTGCTCCAGGACCATCACTTCTCGAGGATTTTGGCATCTCCTTGCTTATCCCTTCCTCTATAATCTGACTACTTGTTGTTTTTTCTTTTAACTGGGTGAAAGCGTTTCTGCTCTCTCCTCTTCAAAAGGCACACCCTTGGATGGAGGCTGCGTTTGCTACCTAAACATCTGTTGTGTGCCAGCAATACAGCAAAACTCGTTGAGATGCTGCGTCGATGTTTTTGTTCTGCTCAGCCACTAGGAGCTGAGGGGAGCTGAGCTGAATGCTCTGGATCTGTAACAGTGATTGTGAGCAGGCTGAGAGAAAGCATGGGGGACTCCTGTAGCATCATTTGCCTTTCAGACACTAGAAAATGCGATAGCTTGGCATCAAATGAAGGATTTTTATGGCTGCACATGTTTTGAGTTTCCCTGAACAAGCCAGCTTCTACACTAGCTACACTTGTTTCTTTTTAAGTGCTATAAAATATGCAGAGGCACTTGTTATGTATAGCGATGGTAGAAATGAGAGGTAAGTGCTGAAATGCTTCTCCATTTATTCCTTTCTTCTCCCAGGCCGTGCTGGGCGGACACAATCCTCTGCTCCCTTTTAAGCTTCTCAGTCTCACAGCCCTCGGCGCTGTGCAGTCAGGTTCAGACCAGCGCCTCTGCAATGGAAAATGAGGATTTATGAACACGGGGTTTTTAGTACCATGCATGTTCAAACCCATCCGTGCCTGCAGAGCAACTGCAGCTCTCTGCTGCCAGTATGAACAGGTAAATCCATGCAGGCTGTGTCCTACACCCACTGTACATATGTAAAGCATATTGTGCAATGAGGGGGAGGGTCATCAGACATTTGTAACAGCCCCAGACATCTTCAGATGTAAAAGGAATAATTATCTTTAGAGCTGTTTACGTGATGCAGATTCAGTGTGCTTTTTTTGGTATAAGTTAAGCATAATTGTTTAACAACTGTCAATGGAACTCTTTCCAACCTGCAAAACAAACCATGGCATCCTGAAAGCTTTTTCGCACAATCACGGTTTATGTGAAGATGGTTTTTAAGACTTCCAGTGCCAAGGGCTCCTTTGCTCAGCATCCACTACATCAGCAGCTCCCATTGAGTGCTGCCTGCCTCATCCTTGGGGCAAGGAGAAGGCAGATGAGAGCCGTGGCTCTCCTGGTGAAGCCCTGGGACCCGAGCATCTGTCACTTGTTTTTGAAAAGGCTGGGATAACAAATTCTGTGTTTTCCAGCTACTGGCAGAATACCAAACAGTTAAGTCCTTACTTTATTATCACCCCTCCAGCAGCCACCAGGCACTGAAACAATGGTGAATGGAAACAGAGCTTGTTTGTGCTGCAAGTGAGGACAACGGTTTGGAAACCTGACTGGCACAACTGGGTTGATGCAGGGGTGGGGGCAGCCGGAGAGCAGTGCAGCTTTAGGCACTCCAGGAGCTCACATTTAATTAAAACAGGGAGGAGTTTGTCTCAGCAAGTTGTGAGACATTTACTTCCCAGCGTGACTAAGCCACCGTGTGTTATCTAACCCCTCCACAGGGATTTGCTGCCAGCTAACCACGTTCCTGCAGTCCAGGTGGGCTCTTTGAATCTGGTTTGGTGCTTTGGGGCAAGCCTGCTTGCCAGCCTACCTGCACCTCCACAATCCCAATCAGCCTTGCTAGCAACAAGGCAACCCAGTGGGAGTTTTAATTGCAAAGGAGTATTCAAAAATCCTGACAAAATCCAAGGGTTCAACCAGAATGACAGGTTTTTATGGTTTTCTGCATCTCTCTATTTCCAGCAATACAGACAAAATCCTTCTCTTGCAAAGAAGCAGTGCTTCAACCCGGGGGCTCCCCACAGCTGAGAGCTGTCCTTAACTGCGGTAGGAAAGTCCTGGTGCTGGCTTTTCTTGCAGTAGTGATGCAAACACTGAGACAAATTTCTCCATAAATAGCTCTTTGCACACAATTCTTTTATTGTCTCAGCTTCCAGCTGAAGACAAGGAAGTTGTTCTGGCAGGAGCTGCACGTGTTATAGCAAAAAGATGCTGCTCAGAGAGTGTGACTGAGCTACAACAACCCTCCGGCTTTCTGAACTGCTCCCCTCACCCTGCAGCTCTCCCTGCCCCAACGAAGGGCAACTGAGCTCAGAGGTCCGGATTCCAATTCCTTTTCCCACTTTCATTCCTGGGCTGAGAATTCTTTTTTTCCTTACTTTTCCAGCCCAGTATGACTCACAAGCTGGGCTCACCCCAGCTGCCCGGCCCATTTCTGCATCTATGGTGGGTTTGGCTCATTTGTGGAAGCATCGGTGTGGCATGAGGGAGTAAGAAAACAGCCAGATCCTGGTGGCACTTCTGGAGGCTGTGGCTCATTCGCAGCCCCTGAGGACCCCAGGACCCTCCCAGCCCTAGTGCTGCTCCACACATCTCCATGGGTGATGTTCTTGCTGTTGTGTGCTTTCACATGGATTTGGTGGCAGCCGAACAAACTGTTGCAGGCACATGGACACCATCCCTGGAGCAGGGAGACTCCTGGAGGATGGGCAGAAGCCGCTCATCTGGAAACTGAGTTAATTTGTAAAGGGAAATCCTGCTTGCTTTTCTAAATGAGGAAGATGTCACCGAAGTGCTACTCCAGCCAAGTGCACCAGCAGTACCAAATATACTGCTGAAAAAAAAGCGTTCGCTGTGTCAAAATGAAGCTGTGGTTCACTAAGCTAATAGGGAGAAAGCACACTGTAAATATACTGAGGAAGCGCATGCATGGCTTATTAATAGGCGCTTGCTGGGGACTGCAGGCTGCATGACAAGGCTCTCGCTGTGCTCCAGTGTCCTCGTGTGCCCCTGCTCCTGTGCTGAGCACCAATCTCTGCCATGCCACGGCACCCATCGGAACTGGCGGCTTTCAGGTGGCACCTGGGGCACAGAAAATGGTCTTTGTGTGGCTGATATCGGTGCCTCTGCCTGCGAGGCAGCCCTCCATCCATCCACAGCTGGTGGGAAAAGCATCATACAGAAGGAGCTCATGCCCCTTCTGCTGTTTTAGCACGGTCTGAACTCTGAGTGGAGCAGGAGTCAATGTAGTTAGCTTCATGCCCTGGCTCAGCCATTCCCCAAACAGCTGCACAGACTTCTCTCCTATGCTTCTGCTGCTGAAATGGCTCCAGAGTTTTCTACCAAAAGCAGCTCCCACTTATTTAAAGCTATCATAAACTGGGCCAGGTGTGTGCATTCCTACACAGCAAAGCCTTGCCCAGCACGAGGTGTTCTGAGTTCTTCCACCATGAAAGCTGCAACAGGAAAATGAACACCCTAGTTAAGGAACAGTATCCAGTCACTATTTCACTGTAGGCTTCTAAGCACCTTCACACATCGGATTTTTTTTTTTTAGGCCATTGGGCTCTGGCTCAATGCCTGAAATCCACAGGTGCACACGCACAGACACAGATGCTAATGCTGTCTGCAAACCGATAGCTGAACACACACTTTCTCCAGCCTATGATTGTCCCAAGGCTCACCTGTCCCCAACAAGCACCTCAGGGCTGTGTGGGCCAGCTGTCCCTCAGTGCAAACAACCTGCGCCAAGCAGGGTGCCAGTGCCACAGCGAGGCCACAAGCATCCTCTTGTGCAATGCATAGTGTCAGCAGTAACACAGAGCACTTGACCACAAAGCCCCAAGACATGCTTAATAGCTCTCTTGTGCTGTTTGCCCACTAATAACCTTAACTTCTTACTGCATTATGCTAGGGTTTAGGCAAAGCGGGGCTCCCAGCAGGACACTCTACAGACTTCCTTTCCCATGAAAAGAGACTTACGTCTTTGCATTTGTTCCTTGTGAGCAAACCCCATTCTTTCCAGGTAGAGAAGAGAGGAATTTGTTGGATTATAATTAAAGAAGTGTTGTTCTGATCAGGAAAGGGGCAGGAAGATTAATGCAGTACGTGACTGTGGTGCAGAAGGAAAAGGTGCTCTAATGGGAAAAGCCTTGTGAGAAGGAGTCCTTTTCAACCCAGGCCATTCTATGATTCTATGATTCCCTGCACAGCACATGCCATATGGGAGCTTATTTTGCTTGGAGTTGGACAATGGAGCTGTGCAGTTCCTCTCTTACTTTATAGTGATGCTCAGCAAAGGAGAGTGGCTACAGGGAAGGGATACGTGCAGTCCTTGCATTAGGATGCCCCACATACCCAAGCATCAGGAAGGAGCTGCTGACAGGCCTCACAGTGCTCACATACAGAATGAAACATAAATATCTGCCAATACATAATAAAACTCTTCCCAGGGCTCCAGCACCATTCCCTTCAGAGCCCCAAAGAACTGCACAAACAGTAATTCAGAATTCCCAGCCCCTAGCTTTGCCAGCAGTGCTGAATTCACTGCAGTGTGGGAAAACAAGCCTTGCTTGATTAACAGACAACACAACTTCAGCAATGGGAGAGATCGATGATGAGATGTAAGCTGCAGCGTGAACCCTGGCCCCTCACTTCCAACAGAAGTTTCTTCAAGCCAAGACTGAGCAGGTGGTCCCTTCCCCTTCATGCAGACCACCCCTCTCTCGCTGTACACACAGGCAACAGAAGACCAACACACCCAGTTCATCTATTCAGTCCCAATGGCTGCAATCCAAATTGTTGCACAGGGATAGGGGCTGCAGGTAAGTGGGGAGCCCAGCATCACAGCAGACTATCCAGGAATCCCTGGAGAAAAGCCATGCATGAATCAAGACTTCTATCAAGACCTTGGCCCATGTTGCAGCCAAGATTACATAGCCATTACTGGGAACAAATCACTTGTTCTGCAGGAGGAATTTCAGTGTTGTAAAACCTTATACAGTCTCTCTGCAGAGCATGAGTAACACTTTGAGCATATCAGGGAGCTACTTCTCTTCAAAGATTGTCTAAAAAAGCAGTATTTAACCTAATGCACTCAGGTACGCGCTCGGATTCTTTGCAACTCTCTTTAGTCACAATGCTTCAACTGATGATCTGCGTTTTGTCCCAGGATGAAAAGTGCTCTAAAAGAAAAAGGTCTATGCACTTGCTTTTTTACCTGCCCATCAATGCCTGCTGGGAGGATTACAATGGCACGTCAAATTAGGGTCAGCACACAAGAATTCAGCACACATCAGCTTTAAGCATCTGCACAGGACTGAGCTCAGGCTGATGCAAAAGCTACAGGCAAAAGCCAGCAAGGTTTGCTTTCAAATAGATTGAGGCAGCTTTACAAATGATCAGCACTTCACCGATGTGACCCACTGCTTCCCAGCACAATCTGAAGTCACATTGCTGGAGCCCGTGCCTTGGTGGAGTCACATGCACCGCGGTGTCCTGGTGTGCTCAGCTAGGATGGGGATGCTGAGTTTGGGAGATGACATCTGCCATGCTGAGCCCTGACACCTTTTACCTGATGTCACCCAGCAGGACAGTGGCAAACTCTGGAATACAGCCCTGCTATAATCACGAACAAAAGAACAGCAATCAACAGCAATTGAAAATGAACTTAAAAGAGCTGCTCTTCTCCTCAACTAGCATGCGTATCTGCAAGGACGTATGGTAAACACACCTTCTCCAACCTGAGTGCTGGGTGAACGCGGTGAACTCTGCAGTAACACTTGTCACACACATGTGAGCACACTCAATGTTTTTCACCTTGTTGTTGGGGGGGCTCTAGCCATTAAAAGCCATTCTGCTGATCTAAGAAACGCATGAAACAGGTGGTGCTCAGGCAGTGGGACTCTGGCAAAGCATTTTCCTATTTGCCTGTCTCTCAGCACAAGGTTGAACACGTGCTGATATGCTGTGATGTCCCGACCTGTGGCTTGGTATCACCACAACGTCAGAAGCCAGCAGCCAAGGATGAAGGGCAGGCCAGGCCACAACAGTCACAGCAGCACTGTGTGACACAGCTGTGGGATCAACATGGCCACAGTGCTGCTGCCATCAATGAAGTGATGTTTTCATTCTGGTGGACAGCCGTTGAAGAGCCAGCTGTGTTGCTTCTAACAGAAGGTTTTGATGGAGCCCTTGGACTTCGCTCCTTACCTTACTCTCTTAAAATCACAAAATCATCTTTGTTGGAGAAAACCTTCAAGACCATCAAGACCAGCCATCAAGCAACCTTGGAAGTGTCATCATTAAACCACGTTCCTTAGTTCTTAACCCCTTTCACTTTACTATCCCTGCCTCCTAACAGCTCGGTGAATGCTTTAGGACCCTCTGGGAGGAAAAACAAAATTCAACACAAAATCACATTTTTCCTTTAGGAAATTGGATCTATGCCTGCTCTGTTGCCACTGCTTTCAAAGCAGTGATGCCAGAGCCCTGGCCTGCAGTAGGACATCTGAGGGACACACAGCAGGCTGTCTGGACATCTGGAAAACCCAGCAAGGCTGCTGGATGTGCAGAGATCCCTCTGTAGAGAGAAGGGGAAGACAACCCAAATCTCAGACTCCCCCACATTTGTGCCAGCAACATCTGTGGTCTCCTGGTCCTGCGAGCATCCCCACGGTCTCCGAGCAGCTGGGGAAGTGCTTATGGAGCTGGCAGTCTTGCAGGGAGGGTAATTTACTTGTTCTTAATGGATTTTCCATACCTCTTGATATTTCCAGACCTGAGTCAGAAGAGAGGAGCAGTAACTCTGCTGGGGGACAGGAGGGCTTGAAGGGCTTTGCTGAAGCCTGTGGTTTCTGCAGTTTAGCACTGGGGACCAGCTCCATTTGTCCGTTCATCACTGCAGTCTGTTCCCCAAAGAAAAGAGGGAAACGTGCTGGTTTGGACTTTTTGTGCTTCACTTTTGAAAGGGATTCTCTTCTGTAAAGCGAAAAGAGAGACCTGGAAACCTGCTGATTCCATTATACTTTCCTGGGGCTAATTTAGTTGTTGGAAATCGATGCAACCATGAAAAAGGCAGCCTGTGGGACTCTGTCAGAACACCTGATTCCTACTAAAGATCCAGGAATTATGGGGAGTTAAGTAATGGCATGGTAACAGGAAAAGTTCCCTGAAGATGATGTGACTTCAGAATCGTTTCTCTGCAACTGGGACCTCCTTCCCACCCAGGAGGTTTGGTGGAGGCTGGGAAGTGGAAGCTGAGCGTGGGCTGCTTCGCTCCCTGCTCATCACCTTTCCAGGACTCTGAGCCAAAACAAGTCTAAGCTAAAAATATAAAAATCCTCCAGGCCAAATTGGTACTCCTTCTCTATTCCTGCTTTATCCTGAATAGTTATTTCCTATGAAGATGTGCTACCAGGACAATCCCTGTCAGAGCCATCTGCAGTGTTCTCAGCAAGGCCTCACCGCCTGTTGCAGCCCATCAAAGCAGCCTCACCACCACCTTCATCTCACCTGCAGCAGGAGGCAGGATCTTGCAGGACACGGTGTCTGAACACACATTGCTCCAGGAGAACCAGCAGTCAGCTACATGGGAAGTGGTTTCTCAGGGTAAGGCAGCTGCTGGCCACTGCTGCCAGGTGATGCTGGGATGTCTGCATGAATGGGCAGTGGAGACATGGGAAGGAAAGTTTCCTTTGGGTCATGTCTCTGCTCTCACCCTACCTGCACCTTGAATGTTCATCTCCTCCCTCAGTCAGTGTCCCATCACAGAAAACACTAATTGCATCCTCCTCCTATGATAAGCCAACAAACAGAGACTGGACTGGGGGCAAGGGACTTCCCTGCAGCCCCTGAGGGTCCCCTGTAAGAATAATGCACACAAATCCTGGCAGTTCCTGTGTGTTGAGCAGAGACTAAATGGGCAGCGGGGTTTTAGCAGATGCTGGCCAGAAAATAACCGTGAGAAAGGAATAAACCAATTAATTGCTGACCCACTGACAGCCAGCACCTCTCCCCCACCGTCGCCCACACAATAAAACCCGTCTCCAAGGCTAAAGCCGATTTAGGGTGACTGCGAAGAACCTGGAGGAGGAAAAAAGCTCTTTCTCACTCCAGCTAATAATATTTCCAGATAATCTGTTCAAGGCAGCACCCTTTGCAAAGTGGGAAAGCTTTTAAGAGCCGTTAACACCTTCCTTCAGACTTCCTCATCCTCCCCCAGACAAGCTGTGATTAATTACCCAATCCACCTTGATCCCCCTGGGAAACAGTGGTGGCTCTGGGTGTTTCAGGCAGATCTGCCAGGCACACAGAGTCCCTCTCTGGCTAAGCAGGGGATGAACGGCTTCCAACTGCATGCTTACATTGGCAGGGTGGTGGATGGCAGGACGAAAGGTTAACAGAGGTCTAGGCAGCATTCGAGGCTTCTTTGCCTGGCTTCTACAGGGCTCTCGTCGTCATCTTCTTACACCTGAAATAATGCATGAGATATTTTCAAATAAGGTGCCAAAGAGAGAATGAAGAGGAAGAGAATGTCTGCCAGATGGTATAAGAGGACTTGGGAGTCATCTCCCCCAGGAGCTTCCCAGCCCCGGGTGTTGGTTAGCATCACACCTACACACTGCACTGTGGGCTGGGCTCAATTTTAATCTGCTTTTTATTTTTAGCTGTGATTTCAAGAAAGGGAAAAAAAACACCCATGAATCTCTTGCAGCTTCCTCAGGCCTTTGAGGAATAAGAGAGCTGAGGAGCAAGCAGGGCATTAATGACATCTCAAGGCAACAACTTGTGGCCACCCAAAATCCCATGTCATGCAGGAACAGAGGTGTTAGCTCTAGCATCCTGACCAGGCTCCAGTCGTCAGCAATTATCCTCTGCTGAGCCAAGAGGTGCAAGAATCATAGAATCATAGAAAGAATGTCTGCTGAAGGCACTGTTCTTCTCCCTCCCTTCCCACGAGGACTGCTGAATAGTTTTCCTAAGTGTCAGAGAACACTGTTGTACACATGTGTCAAATACAAATGCTCTGAAAGTCCTTTTCCAGTTTTGTCCCATGCTTTCTCTTTAAGTGCCACCAACCCTAGTGTCTTTTTTGCCTTGCTTGTGTCCCTGCTCCAGCATATGTCCCCATCCATGCGACTGCGTGCTCTTTTAATCCTGGATGCATAAAAGTTAGAGAGGACAAGGTGCCCAGTGCTACTATCATGTATTGGCCTTTCAGTCCAAGGCCCGTGAACCATTCACATCTGGAACTGGTCTGATCAAGTAGCAGTTTAACTCCTCACCTGTTGGTTTTGCTTTGGCCCCTTTGTCCCCAGGATGTTCAGGCCGGAGCCACCCTGGCTTTAGCAGAACGCATGCATCATGCTGGATCATGCTGGCTTCTACAACACTTCATCTCTACCCAGAAAGGTACCAACGATGCCTCAGCCCTTGAGTAGAGATCCCAGCTACTAACAGAAATCACAGAATCGTAGCACGGTTTGAGTTGGAAGGGACCAGATCATTTGTTCAAGTCCCAATGCCATGGACAGGAACAGCTCCTGGCTAGCCCAGGCTGCCTCATCCCCATCCAGCCTGGCCTTGAACTCATCCAGGATCCATGGCTCCTGTAGGCAAATAACTGATCATGAGACTGATATCAACGAAAGGTGAGATTGTGCCTCTGGACAGACTAAAGCTGTGCAGAGTACTTCAGTAATTAATTGCTCTGGAAGTAAAGTCTATTGTGGGAAAAGAGGTCTTTTCACAGTAGCATTAACTTCTGTACAACGAGATCAGATAGGAAAATGGGACTTCTGCTCAATAAGGAATGCTGTCATTTCCAAGTGCGTTTGGAAATCAGCCCCCCAGCCCTCCCCCTGAAAAAAAAAATATTTGTAAACACGAAATATTTTGTTTCAGTAGTATCTTGTACAAGAAAATGAAATCCAAAATTAAACAAAAACACAAAACGCTGAAACAAACTGCAAAGCCTAGAGCAACATGCTGGCAAAAGATTCAGTCAAATCATTGCCTTCTGCAAAATGCTTCTATTTTGGCAAAACCACATTTCTGGGGGTGCAAGCTGTTCTGCCGGAGGCTTTTGAACCTGCAGCAAGCTGTAATGGAGGCTGAGGTCAGACACTGTGTGGGAGGCAATGTTTAAAATGCTGCAGTTTGATTTCTCGTTTGAAACTCTACCAAAGGCAGTGGGGGGGCATTGGGAGCATGAAGCACTGCGTGGCACTCTGCTGTCCTGCAGCATCTCTGCTGGGGACTGGGCAGAGCGAGGCAGCCAGGAGGTGAGTTATGTGGGGAAGCCCCACTGGTTTTCCTCTTGAAGTGAGAATACCGTCTGGGCAATGATTTTAAATCTACCTCATTAATTAAACACATGCTTAGTCACATATGGCAGACACGCTTGCATTAGCAGCATATCTGTGCGCAGCACAGGAGGTTGTTGAGGATGCTGTGCAAAAAATGCACAAGTGACATGAGTCTGCAGCTCACAAGGCACAGGGCCAGGCTGCATGCCTGTGAAATCTCCTCTGGGACAGCAGAAGGGAGAAAGTTCCTCAGACTCCCTTGGAGGTCACATGGGCTTCCGTGTGTCTGCAGACATGGATGCAACAACATCCTCTTGCACAACCAAGCCTCCACTCCTTCCCTCACTGTTGAAACTACTGCAGAAATTCCATTGGGAAACTCCTCCGGGATGTGTCAGCTGATGGGACAGCAATCCTGGCTGTGGACAGGGGTGCTCCATCCAAGCAGAGTGAGGGGACACCCATGGAATAAACCTCTGCCGTGGTTTGATGTTAGGAGCTGGCGATATGTCGCGTGACATGCTCAGAACCCAGTGCAGATGACTCAACAGCAGTAACTGGATGGCAGATGGTATCATCCTCCCTGTACCAGGCAGCATGATTTGCTATGATTCACAATTTCCAGCTTTGTTAGGATTCACAAAGGAACCTAACAGAATCGCTCAGTTTTGCAACAGGAGCCCTCACGTGTTTAGATAAAGCACACGGCGTTGGTCTGAAGATCTCAGATCTGGGTTCACTTCTATTGCCACTCTCATGCAGACTCCTCTCTGAAGCGACAGGAGTGGTGGGAGGAGCAGGGTTGGCTGTGGCAGGAGAGATGAGACCCACGCTAGGTGAACACCGGCTGGGCACCAGCACCTCCTCCAACCCTGGCTTGAGCTGCAAGGTTCATCAGCGGGGTTTCTTTTTTATTATTTATTTGTATTGTTTTTATCATTTGGGTCTCGTACAATTACAGAGAACTTGGTTTTCAAAATGGTTTTCAATTAAAACCTTGGATCATCAGTATCAGTTTTAGTGGCTGCATCAAATTGAATCAGTTCCTGCATCACCACGTGCTGTGGAGCAGCTGCTTCCACTGCTCTCCTTTCTTTGCAATACTCTCGTTGTAACCCGCTGCTCTCGTGCTGTATTCCTCCAGAAGCACTTGCTCTGGCCACTTTGCAAAATAAGGAACAGGGCTAGCTGGACCCTGGAGCAGATCCCATCTGGTTTTTACCTTAGATAAGAGAAACAGCTGTCTATGATGTGGCAGGAGCTCAGGAGAGCTTTACAGCCATCCTGGGCAGCAAGCAGTAGCTACCAGCTTGATCCCAAACAGAGGCACTGAGTCTCCACAAGGAAGTTAGGAGACAACTCTGGGCTCAGGAGCAGCATCCACATCTCACACAGCTACACACACCTCAGCCCAGATCCTATACTGACCTGAAGGGAAGCACCAGCAAAGCTGGGGAGATGGCAGCCCCATCTCCATCCATCCTAATGTCGTTACCATTTTTCTCTTTTAAGATGCACCACTGTCACCAAGTCCGTGGGGATAAAATCCCATTAAATATTTCATTTTAATCAATCGCTTTCGGTAAGTGCCTGTTGAGGAATTCATGGCAAAATCTTCTCTCTGACACAGAGATTTCAATTATGAAAGATGGCTAAAAATAAAAGGAAATTATACTGTTCAGACATCTCTGGAGGTGGAGACAGGAGGGGGAGCTGTCAAGGAGAGCCAGGGAAGAGATTCTGTTAGATGTACTGAAAGGCTACTTATTTTTACAGAAACAAAATGTCAAGAGGAAGCCTGACTTGAGTCTGCTGCTCACCTTCTCTATTCATAGTTCGGCCTGAAGCGTGTGGGATCTGAGCACCAGAATTAAAAGTCACAGCAATCTCTTTCCCTCACTGCAGGGAGTTGGACCACGCTCCTGAATCTTTCAGTGGCACATAAATATTTTTTTTAACACGCATTTTACTTTCTTTTTTAAAATGAAAAATCCCAGCCTGTGACACTACAAAGAATCATTCAGTGTCATGGCTTTTTTTTTAAATTTTTTTTTGTGTGTGTGTGGGAGCAGCTGCTGATGACCCGGGGCTCACTGCACCGTTAGTAAGTCTAGAGGACATCCTGATGTTGGTATTACATTCAGATTTTGCAGTTAAAATGACCTGGCTGAGAGCAGAGCTTGTACCTTCAATCCTTCATGGACTCAGGTTCTCTTCACATGTCCTTGTGGTTTTTTTATCCAGCCAGATCCTCCAGCAATGATAGCCTTTACCCTGTGGAGTCTCCTTGCTGAGGATGATGTCTAGTTTGATACAAAGCATGCTCACATCACAACCTGTCCAGCTTCTCAAAAGACAAAAGCTTAAGGCGTTTTTTTGTTGTTTGGATGCTTTAGTTAGCTCATCTGCTGAGAACTGTGAGACTCAACCCCTGCCTGAGAACACAGCCAGACCTATGTGAATGAACATGGCTCTGGGCAGAGGTCTCCTTTTTAGGCAGGACCTCTGTGCACAGTGTACCCTGCCCAAGCCATGAAGAACATCAGCGTACTGAGAGGCCCTTGATGTAAAGCAGCAGGCATGTATCCATTTGCCTAATGAAAGCTGAAATCAGCTCAGGCCCTGATGCAGTTTGGCTTCAGAGCATGTTCTCAGTGGCCTTAAATGAGATCTTGCTCTCAGCACACGCCAGCTTCCTGCAAGGAAGTGTTGCGCAAATACCAATTTGCCAAACAAAATGTGGACAACCTCCCAGAAGACGATGTCCACAGGAAATTTCAGACACACGTTTGCATCATCCCTTTAATTAAATGATGCATGCTCACTCAGTGCAACAAGCTCCCATCCTTAATACAAATCAATTTTAATACTAAAAATACAGAGAAAACATCAAGTTCTAGATGGGGAATGCTGGAGTTTAGGAAGTTTAATGTTCTATTCCTGTTTAGCACAAGTGCAGGAGTGCCTTCAGCACTGCATGCTCTCACTAAAACCACCACCAAGCACAGACAGGGCCCATGCAGCCTCTGATACCTCTTGTATCAGAAGTGCTGAGCCCTGAGAGTGTGCCATCTTAGTGCATGCACTTAAGCCCTGCAAGAGCTGGTGTGGGCAGCGTTGCATTTTTCTGATTGAGTTTAAAATGGACTGCAGAGAAAGACTGCGGAGTGGTGCCAAGGCAGGCACTTTCACATTGCACACAAAGGGGTTTTTATCAGGACTACTCCTTGCTCTGGAAGTTTGGAGCTCCCTTCCCCCATGAGCTGCAATGAAAGTGCAGAATAACGTTGCCTTGGGAGGCAACAGAAAACAGGAACTGCAATGAAGCTGGATAGCAAGGGAGAAATGTTCTGCAGGAGCTGTGATGTAACTGGGCTCACGATCAGCACTAACCCCCAGAGAAGACCTCCTGTGACAAGTGGGTTATTTTCCACCATTCTTCTTTTGTGAGCTTGCCATCTCTTTGTCAGGGCTAAAGAATGCCAGGGCTTCAGGCACACATGCTTCATCTGCAGACTTTCCTGGCAAGTCAAAAAAAGCCTGGCACAAAGAACAATTAGGAAATAATTGTGTTAAAAGCCACAGGAAATGACACAGAGATCACTTGGGGAGTTCTGCATGCCCTGGCTGTGGCTTTCCTGGGCTCAACAAGCTGGCAAAGCTGCACTTATTTGATAAGCACACGTCCATCTTGCTCCTGGGCAACCAACAGCAATACGTGGGGTTTGCCATGGAGGCAAAGGGAGGAGATGGGGTTGGCATCCCAGAGTGTGCTAGCTTGGGATTTCCCTCCCGAAGGAACTCAAACCCTTTCACAGCCTGTTCACCTTGCATCAGTCTCATGGAAACACTGACAGTGATAATCAGGTTCTAAAAATATTGAAGGTAGAAGATAAATCATCCTAGAGATCAGAATTGTGTGCATTACATCTAAATGAGCTGCAAAAGACCATTCCCCCTGTTTGATGTGCTTTTTCCATTCAGTGAACACGAAGCTCATCTTTGTACTCAACTGCTGCCAGCTTCTAGCTGGAGAACCCATTTCACTTTGAGAACAGAGTGCTGCATCAACAGACAAGCTATCACAGTGCTCTGGTTTATGTACTTAGCTTGTTTTACCAAGGCAGCAGCTGGGAAGAGCTCATTTCCAGAGTGTTGCATTGGTCCTCGAAGGACCAATAAGGCTTCAGAGCATAGCCAGCAAGGAGCACTGATACACAGCAGAGACTGACAGCTGCTGGGAGGAAAACCCTAAGGAGAAGACGTCGTACACCACCATCTACACTGAAGCTAGTTGACACAGGAGGATTCCTCACTTCTTCCCTTTGCTTTCTGCTCTTTCTCTTTGCATTCCATTTCATTCTGTTCCTTTCTTTCTTCTCTAAATGAGACAAGGCAACTATAACATCCTCAGCAACCTTAGCACCTACTTAGAGATGTCTTCTGGTGTACATCAGCACGGGGCCAGCCAGCATCAGAAGATCTGTGGCAAGGGAACAGAGCAAAAGTTGCCAAGTTCAAGCAAGTTCTCTATAGGGTGTGTGCTCACACGAGCTGCTGATCTTCCTGCAGCCCAATGGTACAGAGCTCCTGCAGAGTGATACTACATGTACCTGCTGGGACAGAGACAGGAGATCGTCTCTAGTAAAGAATACATTGAGAACAAAGAACAAATTGTCTGGTGGAAATCAGCTGCAAGACAGACACACCAGAAGATGACAGCTTGCTCCAGATCTGTCACATACCTTCTAAGGAACTCCAGCTTCCACAGTGCTGGAAACAGGGAATCTAGAAGGGATTCAGTAGGGCTGCACAGTGCATAATACGTAGCGTGCTTTGATCAGCACTGAGCTGAACAGAGCACAGAGGGCTCCTGATTGATGCTGGTGCTGTGGGTCATGAACCTGCCTTCAAAGAACGTCCTTTAGAAGAATACAGCAAGGTGAAATTTGCCATTCATGCTTATTGGAGCTATTCAGTGAATGAAGAATTTAATTAAGATAATGTTCCAGTGCAGGAAGCTCAAAAATTAAGATTATCATTATTGTAGAGGAAGTAAACATTTCCAATGTATTAATTTTTTTAATGACATTACTGAAGGCAATACACTTATTCTTGAGGCATTCACAGCAGTAAGGACACTCAGGAATAGTGGCAAGGAAGTTACAGAGAGGCAGGTGGTACAAGGGAGATTTTCTGTGGGACGCAGAGCTCTGTAGGACACGAGGGCTGGATAACAGGTCCTGAACTGTTTGATGGAAGGGATGGCAGCGCTGGGTGCAAGGGTTTGACCTCTAGTCTTTGCCTCTGACTAGCTCCGTGTGTTTTTTCACACTAAAAGCGTGACCCAGATGGAGGCCAGGGAGCCTCCCTCACACCACTGTGCCATGGACATACTGCCAACACCTTTTTGTGCTTGTTGTGGTCTGTCTATACACTGACCAGCTGAGCTGATCCAGGCAATGTGTGGGGGTGTCGTCTGGTGCATCCATTCCCACTAAATAAAGCACCAATTCAATGCAAAGCAAAAGGTGTTCCCAAGCATCTCCCCGAAATAAGCCTTGGATGGAGGAAGAGGGAACATTTATTTTTTGCAAGGAAAAGATATCACATGGAAAGCCAGGAATAGAATCAATTGCTGGAGAAAGAGAGGAGGAGGAGATCACTCACAGACCGTTTGCATTTCTTGTCCCCTTGCCAAAACCTCATGCACACCACTGTTCTAATTAATAGCTGTCACCTGTCTACAGTTCCCACACAGGAGCACAAGGAGGAGGTATTCCAGGCACACAGGTAACCTGGGAAATGAAGTGACTGCTTTAATGTTTCCAGCTTCATTATGAGGCTCTCACTCAAAAGCTGTTCTCTATTAAGAGTTATCTGAACTGCTAACTCATGAGGCTCCTTTGAAGCGAGGCTCAAATAATATTTAAAATGAAAAAAAAAAAGTATGTATATGTGTTGTTTGGAAGTTCATTAAAATAAACACAATCACTGTTGATAGCATTTTCACATAACACTTGGTCACTTCTTCCATTAAGCCTGCTTCCCTTTTTGTCTGCAGTTCCTGCAAGTTCCTGCCCTTCTATCCTGCTTACAAAGAGAATAATTAAGTTTCTACTGTTCTTTTCTTTCCTTGTTTTCACTGGGCATCAGGTGATAACCGCCTCAACACGGCTGCATGCACCAAAGGAGAACAGACAAAGGAAGAGTAAAAAAGAGACAGGGGTATTCCATACGATCAATCTGGATATCTGCTGATGAGGGGATACAGGGCAGCAGAGGCTCCTGTCCCTCATGCATACACCCAACTCACACTCCATGCTCTGTGATGTGCCCGAGGAGGCAGGATGCTGCAGACAGTGGGACACGAGCACAGCCACGAGTCCCAAGAGGCAGCACCACAACCAGACCTTTGCTCATTGCTTCCCAACTGCAGTCAGTGCATTTTCCTCGCACAGGCTGGGAAAAAGGGACTTCTCCCTGACCTCTTATCTTGTGGGCAATGCTTCCTCCTGCAGGTAATAAAAAGAGTAATTAGAACTATCTGCAAGAACTTCCGTGGAAGCAGCAAGTGCCGTGTAGGAAGTCGGTGATCGAGGCGCATGCAGGCTGTCACTGGTTGTTGCCTTCCTGCGCAGACAGATCTGATGATACTGCTTTCCTTAATTGCATAAAAAAAATTATGCCAGGAGATCAACAGCGCCAGAAAGAATTAATGGGGAAAAGAGAAAAAAGACACTGTTCATCTGGAGCCCAGATGGCTGGCACGTGACGTGAAAGAGGGAAGATTCTCTGAAACCAAGAAAGCGGCAGGCAGGATAGATTGCTCCATAGAGGGTACCAGCAAGGAATGCCTAACTAGGCCTCAGAATAGGCATGGCACTGCCATAACCGAGCTGCAGAAACACTCCATGGGTGTATGAAAGCACGAGTGCTTATGACCCAAAAATAAAAATGGAAGGAAGCAGGAAAAAGTAAAAGGCCAGGAGAGCCTAAGAGAGAACTCTGCCTTTCAGAAAGTCTGTTGTCAGGATCACTGAACACTTCTCCACCTTCCCCCCATGCCCTGAAATTGATCAGTCTTCACTGATCACATTTAGGCTGAGCCAGTGCACAAGGATACAGAGATGGAAACGAGGATGAAAACGTCTATTTGCTTCCAAAGACCAGAGAAATTAGAAAGAAAAAAAAAAAGAGCAGCACAGACAAATGCAAAATCATTTCCTCTTTCAACACCTATGAACATATTTTCCTTTTAACAGTCAGTTTAGAAAGCAATACTTTCTGAAAAGAATGCATACAATCTCCAGACAAGCACCCCAATGCATGGCCATGCTCCCAGAAGCAAATTACCAGGTTCAGAGCACTGTAAAGCTTAATGAGGGTGACGTGTACTGCCGTGTACTGAACACACCTCTGGTTACCACAGTGAAGCAACAGCCCTCTTGAAACTGTGCTGCAGCTTCAGCCTGCCCAACCCCATTGCATTAACAAGGATGACAACCCACCACCCTACGTCTATTGTGCTGGTGAGTGTTGGAGAAACCCTCCCAAAATATGGTGCTTAGCTGTTGTTTTTTTTGTTGTGTGGCCTCCAGAACATCCTGATATCTACTTTGTGGGTTTCCCTTCTGAACAGGCTCCAGTATTTGTTCTGGTAACCAGAGGAGTCTGTGAACACATTTTACGGTGTGCCACTGCAAGATTTTAAGTGCAATTTCTGTGTAAACACAAAGCAAATGTGGTTCTGTGTTAAAAATACAACTGAAGGGTGCTTCATTTTGAGGGGAGCATTTTCTGAGCAAACTACGCCACTCCATTACTACTGCTGCAGCCAGGCAGAACAGTGGCTTCTCAGATGGATGGGATCTGATATGAATTCAGATTGCAGCAGGAAAAAACTGATAGTAATGTGAGATAGAAAATATTTACGAAACCCACTGGCATGAGATATATGTCTCCTAAGCAATGGAAACTGGAAGGGAACTGAGAAACTTCAGAAATCAGTGTGTGAAAGGAGAGAGACTATTATGAGTTTCTAATGCCTTGTACTTTTTTCTTTTTTAATGTGAATTGGGTGCTGATAGAAGACAGTAATGTTGATAAGCTTGAGAGAGATGATGAATGTATGAGGGCTGCTCTGAAAGGAATGCCTACTATTTTATTATGTTGGGCCACAGTGTCAGACACAGGTGTTGTTGGTATGGCAGCAGAGGTCAAACCTTCCCAACAATGTTCTGCTACGTGTTGCTGCAGTGCAATGGATGGCAGCAGAAGGGCAGTCTGAGAAAATGGCCTCTGATATGGAAGTGCATATGGAGCAAAGGTGTGGAATCGAATTCCTCCATGCAAAACAAATGGCATCCATTGACATTCACTGTCAGTGAGCACAGGGAGGCAGTGGGTGATGTGTTTCAACAGTGGTGACAGTGACATGAAAGACAAGTCACATCAAGCCATGCAGATTTCTACAAGCATGTAAGCTCTTGTTCACTGTGAGCAAAAATGCCTACCTAATGGTGGTGACTGTGTTGTTTTTCTTTCTTTCTTTCTTTCTTTTTTTTTTTTTTTTTTTTTTTTTTGCTGAGAATAAAATAGCATTTTTGTGTTCTTAACATCTGTTGTAGTTTCCATGGAAATAAACAGGAGGCATTATTTTCAGAGCAATCTAAGTAGCAATGCGTTTTCTAAAAAGACCTGATCATCTCAGAATCCTAAATCACTTTTCAAACTCGGGGTGGTCCTAAGGCAAGAACAGGAAGAAAGCTCGAATAGCAAATCCACAGTAGGGTCAGGAACACCACAGCCTTGTATCTCATAACTCAATGCAAAACCTGTATACACAGTGCTTTAATTTCTAACTCCCAATACTTCTCAAGAATTCGCAAGCAGAGTGAATAACACGGCATAAATCTATGAAGAAGCCAAGCAAGAATGCACTTGTTTTCCCCTCTACATGGAGAAAGTTTTGAGTACAAGAAGCCGTATGACATTTCCAATAATTTACTATAGGGGAAAAAACCAAAAAACCACAAAACCCATTAGAGAACAGGTATCTAAAAGCACTTAAAAAGCAGAGAGAAAGTAACAGAGAGTCTGAAATGCAGAAGGAAATTTAATAGAATATTAATACAGTGTTTAATAAAGACTGGACGGGCAGAGACGTAACCCAGAGGTTCTAGATCTAGCTTATTATTCACTTTATTAATTATCATTGCTTCCTTTATTTGAGAGCGATTTATTGTGGTTCAACACCAGCCCTTTCTTGATCAAATATAAATAAGTGGAAATGAGCCTTATTTAAAATGGAATAGACATCTACCCACCGTGTTTCACTGGGGTGGCTGATGTAACCTCACCTCCATTTATGTTAGTGGAGCTGTGTGTGTTGGCAACCTTTTCAAAACCAAGTTAATATTCCAGCACCAAGTTCTTTCAAAGGAGAACAGTATTCCTTCCAATTTCCAGGAGTACTCAGAACCGTATCAGATTTGGCTCAAATTTGGTTGAATTCATGCATACCAAGGCACATGCACATTCTAAAATTGACTTAGGTAAGCTTCCTCCACAAGCCTCAATGTGTTTTACGAAATCACACACCCTTTTCATTTATGGCCTTTTACCCAACAGGCAGGGTGTGTGCTGTTTCTTCCCCTGTCCTTAATTGGGCTTCCAGAGTCCAGCACTTCCTGCATCACATGCCTGAAAGATCAAAATTAACCACATTTTTCTGCATCTCTGCAACACCAAGGTAGTTTCATCACATTCTTTGTGCTCCCATGTTTTGTTTCTCAAGAGAGAAAGGGCACAGAACCAGAAACCAGCACCCAGGAGGTGCCATCCGACGCCCAACCATGTCCACAAGAAGCTGCTGACTCTCTGTGCCAGTGTTGAGCTGTACTAGAGAGCAGCACAGTCCAGCTAATGCCATCTCTTCCCGCCACTACAGTGTCACACTGCTACTGAGGGGCACCACTAGACCGTATTTCCATCTGTTGTGCTTCCTCTTGACCAATGCAACATCAACAGGACAAGGAGCTGCACCGTGGCCAAGGTTCCTGCTCACCTCCTGCTGAGCCTTCAGGCCTTGTGCCCGTCGGTGTGTGCTACATCAGGAAGAAGGGCTGAGGGCACCGCATGTGGCTGGAGCACTGGGAACACAAAGAGACTGCTTTGTTCACTGTCCAGGGGTGCCCTATTTCACCTCAATTCGATTCCTTTTCCCACCATGCCTCTCTGTAAGCTAAAGCTGACTAACAAGGAAAGACCATCTTTATAACCCCCACCCGCAGCCCGTTTTTATGCCTATGTCAAAACCCACTTTTCTAGATATATCTGTCCCTGCCTGGCTTGGTTTGTTTTTAGGACCACAGCACCACAGCAGCTCCCTGAAACATGTCCAGCACAAGCGCAGGGCTGCAGCTGGAGTCCTATCTGTTTGGGATGAGATCCAATTACAGGAAGCGGCAGCCTGCCCCGCAGCGATCATTTCCACCTTTGTTAGTTTTTGGCTTCAGCATCTATTTTGATAGGTGCCAAGATCTGAAGGCTGTTAGTACGGAAATGGAAGAGGCGAATAGCTGTGCTTTAACCCTTGCTTGGCAGTAACTGTGGCCCACAGTGCAGTTTCCCTGCACCAGTGTTAATGTATCCCCATAACTGAATATATCAGCATATATTTATATAACAATAATAATTATGCGTAATAAGAAGAACTAAAGTGCGGGCACTGTGTGCATGAAAAAAAAGCCATCACTGAACTTATTTTGCAGTGCTAATCTGAGAACAGGAGAACCAACCACCCCCCAGGACTCTTCAGGCAAGGAAAGAGCCCCCCGAGCCTGGCTGCTTTTGTGCAATTCTATTTTGTGATCTCTCATTTCTGAACAGAGGGAGCCTGAGAACAGAGCATTGTGTCCGTGCTCAGCAAACATACACGAGCTTTTGAGTTCCCTTCACGTTTCCCAGAGGAACATAAGGAAGTTTAGCCTTTAACCAAATATGGTCCTCAGGGACAAAGCAATGGAGCCCAGAGGGTTGAAGCTGGATTTTGCTTTTCTGCCGGCACTGCAGCAAAACCTTACCCTGCTTTAGCAGGAACAGAGATGCAAAACGTGCTTGCAACATTAGTGCAAAAACCCTCTTTCTTCAAAATGAGTGGCTATAGTCACGGAGGGGAGGCTGTCATTCTCTTGATTGAAGTTTGAGCTGAAAAAAGGAAACAAACTTCTGAAGATTTACAACCCGAACAGTATTTAAAGCTCCTGCTCTTCTCAGGAGCTGTGTGAATTCCTCCCTGCACTTGCAGACCAGCGTCACTGCTCTTCTGCCAACACATCTCTGCTCCATAAAATCCGGAAGAGAAAATATGCCAGCTTTCTTGATGTAATTAACCGTGTAGCAAAATGGTTTTTCTGTTGTTCCTAGCTGATATGGTTTATTTCATCCAGGTGACAATGAAACAAAAAAAGAAAACAAGGATCTCAAAGTGAAAAGAGAAGCTTCAGAGAAGCTGAAGTAAAGAAAAAGCAGAAGAAAGAAGTTTGCCTGGTGTGAGACATGCAGAAAATTACATCTGTATTAACTAATGGTGCAAAATAAATGTAAAATAGGCCAATCACACGAAATGTCTTCATGGCACCCTACTCCTGACTGAATACATGGCTGTGTGTACTGGGACTTTGGAAGCATGATCAAGCCACCAAGCAGGCCTTAACTCCCTTGCTGGGATCCAGGACTCCTATGCACACTGACTTCCACAATGCAAAGAAAAAGTACAGAAAAATGCTCAAAATGGCAACAGAGGTTGTTAATCTGTGCACCCCACTGGACACTGAGCACCACACTGAAAACATGACAGGAAACCCTTGTTTGGCAAAACAAAGATGGGAAACAATCAGGTTAGCATCCAGCTACTGCCCAAGCTAATGTGCGTATGGCAGCATCTTGTCCTGTAGAGGAGACCCTGCAAACACAGTATGAGCACAGAGGACATCTTACTGCTTATGGCCTGGAATAGAAATCCAATAGTGCCAACTTTGAGTGGGGCAGAAAATGGATTAGAGCATCTGTCAGTGCTGGAAAGCTCTGCATCACCACCATTACAGAGGCAAAACAGAATGCAGGTGCCTGCAGACCCTACGCTGGCTGCCGCTGGTTGGTGGCACATGAGACCATCAGCAGCACAAGAAAAAAGCCCATCATGGCCTTCTTGGTGAGGAAAACTTCAGAGAAACCATCTGTGTGACACAGCATGTGTGCATGTCACCTGTCAGATTGCAATATCAGATCTGCTCAAACAACTGTAATGGAACACTGCAAACAAGAGCAAAGCTTAGTCACTTGTTCAAGTCTTATCCCCATTTGTTTTTACAGATGTGCAGTTCATGGAAATGAGATGATTAGCTCATCAAAGCATCTGTCAAGGGGAAAGACAAACCAGCATTTTGCAAATGCATCCAAGTGACAAGACCTGTCGGATATGGGTTGTGGTGAATCTCTCTGAGGCTTATTTTTGGATCTGTTACACTCAGCCTTACCAGCTTATTAGTTATCTCCAACACATCACTGAGGAAGGGAAAGATAAATCTATAAAACCTTATCAAACATGGCAATTTGAAAATGTGGTGGGTTTTCTTTTTTTTTTTTTCCCATGAAGGCTGTATGTCCTTGCAACTTAACTTTCTTCCCTTCCCTTC